CATCATGCTGGAGCCAAAAGGCCTGTGTACCCGGGACAGGCGTCCTCAGGAGCCAGCCCACCCTGAGCCTGTAGGCCCACGCGTAGGCCCGGAGTGGCCAGGGTCCCGGAACGTGATAGAGGGTGCACATCGGGCTGAGGGGACTCCCCCCGCCCCCGTGCATGAATTTCATGCACCGGGCCCCTAGTAAATAAATTTAAAAATAAATAAATAAATAAAAGCTAGGGTCCTAGCTGGTTTGGCTCAGTGGATGGAGCATCAGCCTTCGGACTGAAGGGTCCTGAGTTCGATTCCGGTCAATGGCATGTGTCCGGGTTGCAGGCTCGATCCTCAGTAGGGGGCATGCAAGAGGCAGACAATCAATGATTCTCATCATTGATGTTTCTATTTCTCCCTTCCTCTCTGAAATCAATAAAAATATATTTTTTTAAAAAGAAAGCCAGGGTCAAATACCTCATTGATTATTGTTATCTTTATTACATGTTGGACCAATAATATTAGAATATTTAGAGTTAAAATATTATTAAAGTTTATTTTACCCATTTCTCTGTTTTTTTAATGAGACTCCTGGGAAATTTAAAATTACATAGCTCTTATTTGAAGCTGACATATTTCTATTGAACAATGCTGACCTAGAGGCTATGGGAGCCAGAACTAGGAGGAAAAGGCCACCGAAAAGCGCCATCTCAGAAAATAACACCTCTTCCTAAAGCCCCCAAACCTGCCTCATTCAGACCAAGGTTCAGCCTAATTAATGAAAAAAGTGCTTGCTAAGCCAACTATTAGTACAAATGAATTACAGTGGAAAGTGTATAAAGATAATTTGTTGTCAGACACCATGTACACATAGCAATTAAAGTGGCGAGTGCTTCTCCACTCATTAAGGCAGGCCCTCAAGGCCCTGCAATGGGAAGAAAATCACCAGCCAGCAAGCTATCCAGAGGAAGCATGCGTAGAGCACCTCAGTTCTCAGGAGGATGCAGGCACAGGGAGGTGCCAATCTGGGCTTGGTATTACCCACCCTGGGAAGGAATGAGGGGGAAGTGAGCCAGGGAAGTTGGCTCTTTCCCCAAGTCGATGGTCTTCCTCCTGGTCCAGATTTGCACGCATTTCCACCCGGGTCTGTCCCCACTCCCCAGCTGTGAGTGGGCGGAGGTACTTTCCTGGGTGCTGCCGCCCTCTTCCCTCAGTGATTCTGCCGTCCATCAGATCTTCCTTGCCACCAGCCTCCTCTGTGGTATGTGGTCAGGGTGGTTTCCATCACACAGGCCACCTCTGTTTCCCAAAGATAACACAACCCGCGTGGGTGTTTGCTCGCTGGTGCTGTTATCTAAGATCAACACAGCGATTCCTACCTCCAGAAGCCTCCAGGGTCAGGAAAAAGCAGAGGCTGCGTGTCTCGGTTGGTGCCTGGTCACCATAGCTGGGGTTTCGGGTGGTTTCCTTCTGGTGGGGGCGCGGGTGGCTGTGAACAAGCTGTGGGTCTTCTCCCCGCCCGTCTCCACCTTCAGCCCTCTGGCCCTAAGCTCAGGTGGCTGTCAG